TATTTCTAGATAAACTGATAATGCATTGGAAGCCCTTTCTTCTGGTATTGTTGATTTTTATAATAAATGAAGTTAAGAAAAAAATCCATTTGCTAAAAAAGTAATTAAAATCTAGAAAAAGTGAAAATAAACCTATTTAATCCCTTAATTAACCATACCTTTATAAACGTTTTTGTTTACGTTTATGTTTTGTTTACAATTGTTTAGGTCTTTCTTATTTATAAAATACTGACAGAAATAGGGCATAGTTCATTGAAGTTCTTGCAAAGTTTTGAAATTTTCAGCATATTCATTCTATTAAGCGTGGATTTTTCGAATTCATCAATGTATAATTTTCATTTTTTTTTAAATAACACTTTTAGGTGTATGAAATAAGTCTTAACGGTTAACGCGCGCATATTATATTATAGCATAATAAATTTATTATGTCAATTACAAAGGGAAAATCTTGCATATAAAACGTTTTGTAAAACATAAAATTCTATACCTTCAAGGTATTGGCAAATTATAAGATGCCTGAAAATACCAAACATGTGGTTGTTAATTCATGAATATAAGCCAGTGATTACAATTTTTTTTTTTCAGTCAAAGTTGATATTTTTGACTTTATTGATAGTAAGAAAATATGTTAATGCAATGTAGAAACAAAGTTGATTCAATGTTGAACACTAGACATATATTCATTTTTTGAAGTTGATAGTTTAAACTAATACATTGAATAATGTGAGACACAAGTTAAATTATCTTGTAATCATGCTGAAGTTAAGTTGAAAAACCTATGTTCTTTATCCAAAGCTTGATAGAATAGTACATTTAGTATTTACGCAGCACTGTTAAGGCGTACTTCGAAGAAATCAACAGAATATAAACATGCATAAATGCATACCCTTTTAAACTGAATTTATTTTTGTAAAGGTACTATATTATCTTATGACTTTAACATTCTTTGAAATAACATTGTATACCCCGCTCTGTACTGAATCTGGTTTGGTCACGTTATTTGATTGTCACGTGATAAGTGCATGTTATGTGTACTGTATGTAGGTCACAAACAAATTTCAATATCGCAAGGGCATACGCTAGTTAAAATTAAAAATTAAAGTAATAGATTGTTTCTACATAACTTGTAGTGTATGGAAAGTGCTGCTGCTTTAAATAGAATTCGCATTTTATTAGTTTAAATTTCAAGTTATCTGGCCAATGTTGAAATATGTGTGACCTTTACCAAGTATTTTATGTTTTTATTAAGATATGCTATCGATTTCAGGAAAGCAGCAGCACTTTTCAAGTTAAGGAATATGTCCGTTATGTGTATTCAACAAATGGTCAAGATCTATTAAGTGTATGCCCTTGCGAAAAGGCGATTTAATGAGGCACCTCAGCGTGAAACATGCACACCCTGTAGACAAAAACACGGTAGAATTAATTCAATACATTCTCTCGATATTTTTTAAATAATGGCACTAAACAAACGCTTCAGATTTGTATTAATGGTCTACCTAAGTTTTGCAAATAATATTCTGTTTAATAATAAAATACATTTTTCACTGTGAAAAAATTACTTGATCCGCCTCTCACTGCACATGAAATGCGTCAAACTTTACCATGATGACGTCATGTCGACAAGTCCATTGCAATCAGTGACTTGTTTATATCTTGCTGTGTGGGATTTAACTAGGGACAAAACTGAATGCAGTGGTAAGTTTTGATGTAGTTCATTACTCTTACATGTATGTAGTTTATGTTCGCAAATTATTTCATTTTCTGTTATTGTGAGGAATTGCTATATTTGTGTGATGTCACAATAAGCTTTTCCCATATAAATTAGGCCCCGCCCCCTTTATGCAGCCTTAACAGAGCTGCGTAAATAACTTTAAAGTTATCTGAATTCTCTAACTCTATGGGTGTTGAGTACAAGAATTTTACAAAGACGATCCATCCCGAGGTGCTATTGAAAGGTTTATAAACAATATCTATCCCAAGATATCAAAGACGGGGTCAATTACTTTCAAAAGTAATTAATTTAATTATAGTTACTTCGACATTTTCTTCAATTAAATTACAATTGAATTACATACTTTAAAAGATATGTGATTAACGAAATCACAATTTCTTTGTAAAAGTAATTTATTAAATTACAAATTACATTTTATTTATTTATTATTGTTTTTTTTTTTTTTTTTTTTTTTTTTTTTTTTTTTTTTGGGGGGGGGGGGGGATTATATTTTTATAACCTTGAGAATCAATATACAGAACATAATTGAATAAGCTCAGCCACTGCACAAATAAATTTTTATTACTTTAGACATTGTGTATCTTTGTGTTGTTTTAACTTTTATTCACAAAACATTTAAGAATTACCCCTTATCAGTTTGCGTGGTTTCCTCCACACAAAACCTACATATATATAATTAAATTACATGCCTTATTAATTTTGATTAAAAATGGGTATTTCGAATAAATGAGTCACAATTGAAACCCCTCAAATTATGTTCTTTTGTAGGTAACCTGAATATGCTTCCTAAATTACTAAAAATATTGAGTATTTTAACTTCATAAATAATATTTGTGTACTTGTAGGTTACTCTTTTAGATACAAAATTCATTTATAAAAATTGGTTTAGGTATTAAATAAATTATATTATAAAAAAAAGTTTCGCTTTTCTAAAACTAGTGGAGCAATTTTAAATGAAATAATCACCTCAACTGGCTAATCTTTTACATCAGGAAATGAGTGTTTCTTCATAGGGCTCATTTGTTTTAATTGCTATTTTGCAATTTACAGCTGTGATTTGGAGGGTAATTATCTCTATCCAAGAAGATATATCTTAAATAAATGACACACACACGGTCCTATCCTTTAATATTATTAATATTATTGATAAAACAACAAAGAATGAAATGTGTCATAGCTGAATAGAAGGATAGAATTAAATTTTAGAAAAACATAAAGCATGTAAAAGTCTAAATTTACTTTATTATGAAAATAAATATTTTAAAAACTAGATTATAGTTATCAAGTCAATTATTTATTTGCATGTAAATACTATATTTTGTATAACTGAAGTTTTTGAGATGTATTATGATAAAGAAAAAAAAACACAGTAAAATGATAATGTTAAGGAGACATAATATCATAAGAATGTATTTTGAAAGTAATTGAAATATAATTTAAAAATAATTGAAATTACATGGTATTTTACAGTATAAATAATTAAATTACAATTACAAGTATTTAAAGAAAATGTTCAATTACAAATTACTTCCAATTTCTTTGAAAAATGTAATTGATTGCAGTCGATTACAATTACTTTTTTCAATAACCCTATCACTGTACGTTATTTTTACATATTCATTCCTATATTTTTTTTTCTAAGGAACATCATTCTCAGAGAAGGTTACTGACGACAATGGCGGGATTACAAGTGCCTTCCATAGCTAAAAGTTTAAAAGGTGAAATAAAATTAATATCGAAAAATAAAGTATTTATGTCTGCTAAGTAGATAACATGTAGTTGTTTTAAGAAAGTGACGAATTTGCTTTGCTACTAAGTATACTGACATTTTCAATTTTGCAAAATTAAACTATAAATGAAAAATAACTTGAAGATCGCAATATGCTAAAACAGGGAAAATAGGAAATGGTATGAAATCAGTATTACATTGGGAGTTATAAAACATTCATTGATTACATTGATATAATTTAGGATTAGTTTAATTCAGTTAAACTTTGTAATGTGCTATTTGATTGGATAAAAAAAAAATATAATTCATGGGCTGTATCGTCAAATTTAATACCATTTTTGAAGGAAATTGTCATGTGCTTTTTGGGATGCGATGGGCAGAGCAAACATCTACATAACAGCTTTTCTCTTTCTAAAAAATAAATACATGTATATGTTATATTTGGTCAGGGTCCACTTTTATTCTTGAATAAAGTAGGACTTTGGTTCCAGAAACTAGTTTGACAAATCTTTATTAAATTAGGGAGTTATCATCTTCGCAACCTTTTTCAAAAAATATTCAGTGTACAGAAATTCACTCTAGTATTAAACATCTTCCACGCACATAAAAGTGTGGTCGGGCGGCATGGTCTACATGTTTTATTGAATAGACTCACATTTGAATTAGATGCATTTTTGGTCGTCTGACTGGGACAGCATGACGTTGTGGATAACACAAAACATGTAAATCTCAATCCAACTTTTAATGATAAATGTATTTGCCATTCCAATTAAAGAATTGAAGAACTAATAGACAAATGTAAGAGAGCGATTAATAAAAAAAAATACGACATTTCCGAGGTATGTGCATTGTATTTAGATGTACCATACTATACATAGATATTTACGATAAACATAAACATGTAAATCGTTGTCGTTTCTACTCTTAATTCATATAAAGTCTACATCAATAAAATGTTTAATTTGCATTTTTGTTAAGGTACAGGGTGTTTCATAATATATGTTACATTTTGAAATCTAATTATATTTCTTACCTATCATATATCTATTACAAACTATATATCATTTTAAACATCAAATCCTGCATTTTTGTTTCATGTGAAAAAGTCAAGGAATTCTTGGTATGTTCATCGACATTCAATATATTGTTTACATGTTTATGCTACGTTTACCACAGAAATCCTACGAGTTTTGTACAATTTTTTTCACAAAAGAGTGCACTAAGAACTATAACTCTTCCATAGTGGAAAAAGAAGCTATTTTAATTCACGAAATTCATCTTATCTAATCATGCACGGTTAATGCATGTGCAATATATGTTGGATTGCGGGCCCAAATAAGTGATAGTTTAATAAAAAGTTTTGATGAGTCACAACCATATTTTACTTTCATGATATCGTCAACAGTATGCAACAATATGCACCATATAAAGTTTTAAAAATCCAACAATCCACACTGAAGTGTGATCATAATTATTGAATTCTCTAAATTTCATTTTTAGTAAAAATAATTTCTAAGTTATTCATATTGCAGGCATAGAGCAAAAAGGCATATATTGGGAGCTGAACACGAGTACTTCAGGGCATATTTTACAGAAATGGGTCTTCTGTACGTTTACAATAGTTTGCGACGTAATGGATTGATAGACAACTGGAGACCACTAGGATTAACTTCCTACAGTAAAGCCATTGAAACTTCCACAAATTATTACAGATCACGAGCAGAAGCAGGTGAAAATCTTTCCATTTCATAGTTTTAAAAAATTTTTGTCAATGAGACACATTTTATTTTGTCTTTTCTTTACTCTCATATGCAAAATTAATGCAAATTTTTACTTAATGAATTGATAGCAATTTAGCCATTAGAGTTTTTAAGAAAAGTTAATTAGTTTCAAAATCAAATATGTTTTTAAAATCATATCGTTTTAATATTTCAAAATAAAGACATTGATAAATATCAGAGATATAGAATTGTATCTTGAATTATAAAATTTCCTTCTTTACGTTGACAAATAACTACTGTATGAAATTATACCTTTATTGATCCATTTTTTTAAAAAGGGTGCACCTAACATTACCTTGATTTTGTCTTATTTCATGTATTTATAAGCAAAAATGAATCAAATATCATTTTTACACCAAAAGGTAACAGACTTTTTTTTTATATGTTTTATCCTGACTTGAACATATTTTAGAAAGCATGAAAAGTACTTCACGATTAAGGAATAATTTCTTTAGATACGTTTTCTCCATTTTATTGAATATTTTAAGAACTGGATCATTTTTGAATGCTTAAATCTATAAATTAACCTGACTAAGGTACTATTTTAAATTTCATTTTGTTGTTTTCTTGTCATTTAGGATATAATGTTCATGCCCAAGTAAATCGCATCGAACGTGTCCTAGCCTACCGGCGGCAAGACGCTGCAGATCATGGTGGTGGCGACAGGGGCCATGACGCAAATATTAACAACTGGCAGAGCAGACTGGAACGAATTCGGGATGGGCAAGAGCGCTATAATGAGTGTCGTCGTCTATACACAGTTCATGATGAGCTCAAGAAGAGGAGCGTCAGATACCGAGGATGGAGCAGACGACGTTTTTCGAGCCGTAGAGGAAGCAGGGGTCGTCCCCAAAGCAACAGGGGTGGAAGCAGACGATTTCCTCAGAGTCGAGGACGAAGTGGCAGACTACTCGTTTGCTAATTTTAAAGCAAAATTGAAAGAACATGTCATAGTTTCCTACAATTGCTTAAACGAGAAACAAGAGTTTAATCTGAAATTTCAGTTCCTAGATGTTTCACGTAAGGTGAAACTTGATAAAGTTTATCTAGTAAATGTTGCTACAAGTATACCTCTGGTTGTTTGTAAAAATCCGTCAGGTAATATTGCAATATTTTATGAAATTCGATGATTTGACACATTTATGTACAGGCAGCAACCGTCATTAAAACTTCTTAGGATACAAAACACTATGCCAGTATATCAATGTTTTCACTTATTAACGAACAAAAATAAATGGTTTTAAAAATATGACAAAAAGGTTTGATTTGCTTGGAAAGATTATCTTTTGATCTAGCATTTAGATACTGTTTTTTTTTTTTGTCCAAATACATAACCAGACATATAAATGTATGCAAGAATATTTTTGGGGTCAAAAATCAATCACGAAAACAGAGGGGGAGTAATAATTGATTTGATAAACGTTGTTTTAAAAATCGAGATGTTTCCTTTCATATCATTGGGTAGAAGAATAAAACAATATTTTAGTTGTTTTACAAACAATAACACATTTTATTTACTGTTTGAGTTTGCACTCTTATAAGGGAACCGTTCATATAATATATATACCACGAAATTGGTGCTTCATTTATTTCTTGCTACATGTATTTGTAACAAAACCAATCGTGAAAATTGCTTGCGATCACCATTTAGAAAAACATGCTTACTGGTCAAATAAAAATACACTTTCTCACAAACACATTGATAGTTTGAATTTTTACAAGATACATTATATATGAATAATTACTTTAATCCTTTATCCAATACTCATTTGCATTTTCATATCTAACTAAACACAAGCATGAATATCTTATTGAAGAGGACGTCAAAATTTGAATTGCAAAATATAACTATAGTGTTCCAAGGCCTGCTTTATAGCATCATTAAAGAAACAATAAATCGAAGGGTGGTCAGGTATTTATTTGCTACTAGCATTATCGTGATATATAATAGCAAAAAAAAAAAAAAAATCACAAATATACCGATCAAATAGCATTTATCATATAAAATCTGACATTCAAATAGAAGTATGATTCCCCAACCCTCAAATCAAGAGTGAATATTGAAATTGAAAGTAGATATTAGAAATATTATTTTTCATTTGAAAACATGATGAATATTTGTTTGATCCAATCATCCTCCAAAAGAGATTTCAGTCTTTCTTTACTGCAATATGATCAATCTACAACGATCCTTTTGGTATATCGATCACGATGTATTTTCATGGTTTTTGTGGACGCTGCATAGCATACAGTATCAAAGTACAGTGTCATGAGCTCTTAAACATGAATTATAAATGCTAATATAAAACCCCGCATCACAAAATAAAAAGAGACAAAGTTAAATCAACTCTCCGGAGTATATTTGCAAAGTAGGTGAAAAGTCAAGGTCCAGTGGATTTTAATGCTATTAATTTTCATGATATCGTATGACAATAGTGAAAATGCTAAATAGAGAGTAATACATGGCAAAATCTGTATCACACCCCATATCAACCCGAGACTCCAATATCAGCCCGAGGGCCGAAGGCCAGAGGGCTGATATTGGTCGAGGGTTGACATTGGATGTGATACAGATTTTGTCATGTATTGTTGTTTTTATTATATATTTGAAAATAGTGTCAAAAAATCATATATAAACCTGTAAATTAATTAATTCTTAATAATTGAATATGTTCTTTTTTTTTCGTTGAATTTTCTTTTCTCATTATTTTTTCCAAACGCAATGCATACGGCGATAAGAAATGAAATAATTATAAATTAAACAAATAATTATTTTGAATAGCATAAAATATCTGATGAAAATGTACAATTTAAATAAACTTTATAAACAATTAATAGAAAAAGATCCGAGGTACTCCGAATGAAAAATACAGAGATGTTCCGGAAAGGTGTAATAAAGGGTGTGATATAGGGTAAAATAAAGGGTGCTGATACAGGGTGTGTAATACAGGGCGCGTGCCTGTGTCCATATCAGGGATGCAAAAATCCTGTATTATTGAACAAATATATAATAAATAGCAATATTTTATCTCTTATATCTTAAATGTCAAAAATATGTTGTATATCGGCACAAAGAACTATTTTGAAAAGTAGGTCAAAGGTCAAGTTTAAAGGTCATGAGGTCGGTAAACATGGTATTTTATAAAAGCCAAAGTGCCAAGCAATATATTTGCAGAATATCAAATCCATATCTTTTACATTCCTCAAGATATTGGGTTTGACAGACGGACTGACGAACGGTTAGACGCTAGGTAAAGTGATCCCCAAGTGTCGCTCTGCTCTGCAGGCAACACATAATATGTGGTTAAGATTTAAGGCAAGTTTAAAATAATCCGGCGCATTGCAATATTTGCCATCGTAAATAGCGCGCAATTCTGCGTTGGGAATTACTTACAAACAATTTAAATACGTATTAATGTTTTAGAAATAACGTAAATACTTGAAAAAAAAATGGATAAATATCAAACATTACCTATAAGATAAGAAATAGATTCATATCAAATGGATGAAGGGAGATAATATAACAAATATAGCCGAAAACATTGCATAAAACTCACAAAAATTGAAATCAATGAAATTTTTTGAGAAATCAAGATACATGTAGGAATCTGTTTTTAAATCGATTAGCATTGTTGACTACAGATGTTTGAATATATAATTGTTCAACGTTTAATGTTAAGCCTTGTTGAAAAACTAATCTCTTTGTCTTGTAACTCGACTCATTAAGACTTTCAAAGTCGCATGTACCTATGTTTAAAATAAAAGAATAATAATAATAATAATAATAAAAATTCTGCGCAGTTTTTTCCTTGTATATGTAACTTTTAATCAGTAAAAAATTTATAAACGTATCACTGAATAAAATAATATTAATGCACGTATTGTATTGTATTTTAGTAAGAATTCAATTAATGAAATGCCGTCGTGTTAAGGTACATCCATAGATTAAAGTCCTGGAGCCATAGATAACATTGCTTGGATCTTCACATTTCGAGTTAACGGCAGAAAACAGTTTAGGATATGGACGCTGCTAAAGATGAGGATCGGTTTGGCTGCAGTTGTAGAAAAAAAAGGACAGAGTTTCCAGTCTTCAAAAACAGAATTTGATTTTCTTTACACTGTGTTTCACAGACCAGATATCATAACTCAAATACATGTATAGGAGAATTCTGAACACCTTTCTAGGATGGTGTAATGCTAAGACAAGTATTACATCTGATCATTATAGGATTATATACATGAAGTGTATACGGTATAAATATTACATAACTACTTTCCCTAGACAATGTAATTTAAGACAAGATCTAATTCATGACTGAAATTGAATAAAATCTTTATCAGATAATAATTATTATTTTGAAAAATTATCACTTTTAAAAAAGGATAATATTTGTTTCCCTATGATTTGCTTAAGTAAACATCTTCATAAGGCCATTAAGAAGAGGAAGAAAAAAGTTTCTTATGTGAAGTCTTTTATTATTACATATAATGAAGACAACAGTAATTTAATCTTTTTTATTTTTATCTCTGTATCCAAGAAGCAACATACGACACAGAAGTATGATTATATGCTTACAAGCGCATTTTTACTATATTTTCATAAATGATAAAACACATTCATATTTACAAACTTACATAAAACACACAATAACATGAATATTTGTGTCAATAAATTGATTTCATTTTTATAAGATTAGCAATTACTCCTTATTGTTACCAACTAACCACCATGTCTTTTAATTTTTTTTTTCTATGTGAGACACTTCTTAGGCCAAAGGGTAATAAGATCGATGGAAATATCCCCCTCATAGCTGCTCCCTCTTGTGGCTTCGATTAAAACCTTTAAAAAGGACAATGTGATTCTATAAGAACACTGAAATATTTTTGATTCGGATGTTGGAATGTAATTTTTTTTTTAGGTCTTTAAGAATGAATGTGAATACAGGAACTTGTATACTTTCTTTACGTCGTCAACTGCAACTACGCTGGGTACTTGTGTGTAACATCAGAATGTTTTGTAACAAAATAAGTTTGCAAATGACCAATGACAAGGTAAGTAAACTTACGAGTTCCATTTGTATTGCAAAACAGCTGTTTATGACTTCAAAATCGTTCTTTATAGACTTTTCAATGCCAGGCAGTAATAATTTACACTTTTTGGTTTCAACTTTTCATAAGGTCTTTTTTATCATTTATACAGAAGTGCTTACTGTAATTTCATGAGTAAATTGCATCATCAAACGTCATAATTGGGTAAAATTGCGTAATGTAAAATTGAATGTAAAAAACATAAAATCAAAATATTTACATTATGTAGTAAGGATTATTTATCATACTATCTTTTCTAAACTCAAACATGTGTTCATTTCACGCCAAAATCGTCTGTAAATCGAATGAAAAAATCATATCGTGTGACCGCCCGACCATCCGACTCCATTCAACTTACGTGAGCAAGTCGAATGAAAATCGAATGAAAAATTGCATTTCGTGATCGCAGCGGGGAAATTAAATAAGGCCGAGTTTTAAAATCATAATCAGCATTCCTCATCTTAATTAATAAATAAGCAAAACAAATTTTTAGGTTATTTTTTAGCATTATCAATGGCTTTTTCGAAAATAAAGTAAAATCTAATGCTTAACTTAATCAAAATACTGATTAAAAAATCTCGGATATTCAACATATTAACGTTCTGAGCATCATAACAAAAATTTGAATTTTTTTCAATGACCCAAAGGAATCAGTTCTGAATCAAGGGTTTGCTGAATTAACCCAGAATATTTAAAATTCATTCCTAAGCGTTTGCAATCTGTAACTTAAAAGAAACACAGTTTTGTATCACTTTTTCACTTACATAAGTTATATTATGATAATATTATCTGTTAATTTGATTTTAAGGACAATCAAAATTGTATCTACGTGTATTTTTATTTCACAATATCAAAGTTGTATCCGATGCGTTTATATCGTTTTCGCAGCTGAGAATTTGTTATTGGATCATGTAACTGTTGGATGTGATTACCATTAATTAAGCCACTCGTAAGAAATAAATGTCACCATTAATTAATGTTTCAATTTAGAATAGGTTTTATCTTTAAGGAACCGGAGGAATGCATTGCTCTGTTATGATAACATGAAAAATTACATCAAAAATAGAAGATTAATCTAAAGCACACGTATAACTTGAGTTGGACATATTTTCAGAGTCAAGTTACAAAACAAGATCCAACATTCTTTACAAATGCATTGTGACTATTTCTATCGACATTATACTCTTAAAAAAATCATTTTTCCCCCCATATTCGAGTTATACTTCTCAAATAAACAAGCAAATGATGCATTTGTACATCTCATTTACGTTTTTCGTTACTATAGGTATTAAATGCAAATTTCACTTTAATATTTCTTTAAAAAACAGTCTTAAACAATCTGCCTCTACCTTGGTTTCTTTATTCAAAGGTATATCAAGACTGTCCATCCTCTGCCATCTATTTCCTTGTTCACCAGATATTTGTCTTAAGACAGTTTGTTTATTTGAACTGTTTTCTGTTTTAATTATAAGGCTTCCAATATGAGATCCACGCATATGATAATAAAGACTTAGGCAGTAAGTTGTGTCTGAAATGATACAGTTCTGAGCATCATTATATTCTCCACTATGTCTTATCAAAGAGATTAATGCGTATTGCAACTGTAATGATGAAAAATTTAAAAAAAAACAAAAACAAAAAAAAAACAAGATCCATCCTAACATAAAAGCACACAAATATTATTATAAAGGCATTATATCTTTTTCGATCAAAAAAATCATTAATAATTATCGAGGTAAATTTGTTATCGCACTATTTGTATATGGATAAAAGAGTTACATTTCTTTTTATCCTCACCTCAATTTTAATGCTTAACTTCTTTATATGTTTAAAAAAAAAAAAAAAAAAACTTTAATATTTCTAAGGTTGTCAGATGGTTTCTGAAGAAAGATTATGACAAAATATCGGAGTACGTAAGGCTTCCAGAAAAGCTAGCACATATCAAATGAATGTGTTTTACCGGGTTATGTAATCCTGATAATTCAAGGATAAAAGAGCGACTGAGATAATAAAGTGTTTGAAGAGCCCAAAACAAACCAAAAAAAAAAAAAAAAAAAAAAAAAAAAATCCCACCAGTATTCAGTAGGCACTAATTTTGATTTCTTTAAACCTATATTTTATTCCAAACAAAATTTTGTGCTCGGGTATTATAACTTAATTGTTTATTTGCGAAAGAAATATTGACGTAACACTTTACACTAATTGCTGGTTATGAAGGAAATCATCCTTTTGACCTAAAAGTCAGTAATAATTGATTTATCATACGATTCAATGAATAAGTAGTACAAACTCTTTTAAGAAGCCATGCCAGCTTAAATTGTTTACATTTGCTGAAGTCGTGGCCAGATGAGAGAAGCGGATTAAAATAAACATCACCTCATTAATTTGAGATTTCTAAATCTATCTTAGATGCATTTTAGAATTTGAATGTCAGGCATGTAGCATCCATTTTGAAAGGGGGGTGGCATTATCAGGGGGAAATTTTATAACCTACCTGAAATCTTTTTAAACTAGCACCAAAAAGAGGAGAATTTCCAAACTCCAAATTTTATTTCAGAAGGGGTAGAATCTATTTAGATTATAGGAATTTTTCTATACTGTGACAAAAATGGGGGGGGGGGCAAACAGCCTTTCAGTGAACATTTTCCTAATAAATAGTAAAAAGGTACGTTCAGAAAAAAAGTGTGGGAAGTGGAGATCGCGCCCTCCCCCAATTCCAAGTGCCTGAATATTATGTTCACCTGAGTGGAAATCGGGTGCAGGTGAAAAAATTTTCAAAACTATTTGTATCATTTGGAAGTTCTCAGTCTATTTTCAGTTCAAATCTTAATGTTCATCTGAAAGGATATGTACGAGAGAACATAGCGCAGTATTTTTCTACTTTGTCGGATATTATTGCTATGAAAAACATTTTGCAGCTATTATCAAGTCAAAACTCACTCAACGAAATACTGTACCTTGAAATGTTCGGTTGCTTTCCAGTATTGCGTTATCCCCCAGTTGTCGTGGACTGGAAGTTTCGATATATGCATAATACAAACCACGATACGCTGAATTCGGTCCAGTATCACTAGAAGACGTAGATCCCTATTTTCGATTACAAATATATATATATAGATATATTTATATATATATATATATATATATATATATATATATATGTATATATATATATATATATATATATATATATATATATATATATATATATATATATATATATATATATATATATATATATATATATATATATATATATATATATATATAAAGCGCTAAAAATGACCAACGACACGAACAATAATAATTGTCAAATTTTCGGGACGACCTGTCCCTTCCTCAGGACAAAGAAAAAAGTTAAGAAATCATAAAAACAAAGGAAATAGAGAAACAAAAACAACTAGCACTACTTCTAAACTACCTAACACTAAATATTTACAGTGTTACATGTTTAATTTGAAGTTTATAAACAGTTGTGAACAAAGAAATCCGGAGCGCTATGAATTGCGTCCGGTCTATCGTGTGTACTCTCTTGAAGTGCGATTTACATAATTGAACGAATTAATTATCGCTAATTAATTACGACCAAGCAGTAAATCGTACATTGTCTTATTCTCTCAAAAATAGCATAACTATACATGATAAAAAGAAATTAAAGAAAGATAATATGGAAGGGCAATTTTAAAATATGAATTTGGATATATTATAAATTTGGAATTCGGATAAAAGAAATAAACAAAAATGTAAGCTGTAGATATTTGGATAGGTTGTTCAATAATTGCTAATGCGAATTAACGGTAAAGTTTACACTATATAGAGAGAATGAACTTGTTTGTTACAATCTGGGATTGGGTCTAGTTCACGTTCATCCTGGTGAAGTCATTAAGTTTGTTAATACCATTAGGGCGGAATGACTTCAACCTGTTCATCCAGAACTTTTCCTTGCCTTTTCTCTGAGCGTCTGTCCATCTTGGATTATGGTCAATAACCACTACTGTCATGTCTTCCCATTTGTGACCATCAAGGTTGAAATATTCCCCAACGGGTTCATTGAGTTTTTTGGTCCTAATGGTAGAACGGTGATTATTGACTCTCCTGCGGAGATCTCCTGTTTCACCAACATACTGTTTGGAGCAAACTTTGCAACTGATGAGATAAATGCAGTTGTCTGTTTGACAGGACAAACTCCCTAGTATTTTGTAGCTGCGGCCTGTAACGGGGCTGTTAAAGCTGTCTGTGTCAGAGCTGTGCTTACAGAGAAGACATCTTCTGTCAGAGCAAGTTTTAAAGCCCCCGTTTGGTAATGGATTGTCCAATCTGGTTCTTACTACCATGTCCTTTAGGTTCCTCGGGCGTCTGTATGCAGCAAATGGGGGCTCCTTAAAGACCTCTGCCATTCGTTTATTTGAGTGGCGAATTGGCAGATTCTTTTGAAGGAGATTATTATTTTTGTTTATTATATTAACTTAAGAGATGTCAATCGAATAAGGAACTGCCAAGAGGTTAACCGCTACACGTCCCGACCGATTTATCGGTTAACTGTATCGAAACCTCTTTATATATATATATATATATATATATATATATATATATATATATATATATATATATATATATATATATTAAGTTTACAGTACAAATGTTGACTCTGTTCAATGTCATAATAAAGCATAATTATATATATTTTTAATATTTTACCGAATGCCTCGTCCATCTAAATGTGCCAGAATCAGAATCGACCAGGAAGCAATTGGACTCAGGAAGACTTTCGAAATCGCATGTATCTTTGTTTTAAAATTAGAAAAATCTTTTAATATATTTCATGTGCATGTAAGATTGCTATCAATGTCAAATATAGATAAAAAAAATATCTCATGGAAATGCCACCAAATTTGCTGTATTTCTTTTATTGAGTGAAATAATACATGCATACAAATTATCATGTCCATTTTACTTACATCCGTAGGTTTTAATCCTTGAGCCACACCTAACGGTGCTGGAATCTTCACATCTGTAGTTGTTGTCAGAAAATAATTGAGGATATGGACATTGTTGAAGATAAGAACCAGTTTGGCTGCAGTCGTAGAAAAAGGGACAAAGATCCGAGTCCTCGAAAACAAAATTAGGAATGTTTCTACAGAGGTCATCCACAGTCCAGGAGAGAATTCCTTGTAGAATAAATGCCAGCATTTTAAACAATAAGAATAACCCCAGATTTTCATTGCATTACAGGTTTCAAAATTTGACACTGTCAAAGTTGTGTTGAAAGTATATTGATTATTGTTTTTTTTTTTCTCTGAAGTAGATAGAATATAAAAAAATGCATATTACATGTGTGTAAACTTACTTTTCGGCACACTTTTCATTTTCTCAAGTGTAGATTGATATTCTGATAGATCATTTTCTAATTCATCTGATTTATTTTGTAGCAAACTAAGTGTCTCTGTGAAAGAAACGTTGGTCCGTTGTACTTGGCTTTCAAGTTCAGAGAATTCTTTCTTGGCCAATTCAAGCGATGTTTCACAGTTCTGTAATTTTTTCTTTAATATTCGTGAATCGTTTGAACATTCAGATATAGCATCTGACCAGTTTGTTTTCATTGTAGAAATTATAAAGTTATATTCAGACAAGTTTTTCAAAGCATTCTGTAAGTTTAAATCGCAATTTTGCAAACTTTCATTCATCGCCTCCATTCCAAATATCTGGTTTTTCAATTTTAATGTTTCATTGAGCTGAAACTTTATTGTTTCAAGAAGCTTGAATTCATTTGATGACATATTTAGCATTGATTCAGAAAAGTTCTCTCTAGAGATCTCAAGACTACGTTCACAGTTTAACAAGGAATCATTCATGGATAAAATCGTTTGGACATTTTCTATGTTTGTTTTATTTTGAATTTCAAGAAGATTCAAACATTTTTGTTTAGCCTTTTCAGAGGATTGTAGCATACGCGATGTATCGGTCAGGTTTGATGAGGTGCCATCTAATGTCAAATTACATAACAAGCTCTCATTCTCAAGAATGAATATTGTCTTCTCCATTTTTCCAAGGGCCTCAGAAAATCTTGTCAAATTAGCGTCTACATCTCTTCGGACTTCGTTACATTGTTTTAAACTGTTGTTAATTGCATCTACTTTTGCTCTCTCGTCGTTAAGTTCAAGTGACGTTTGTTCCAATTTTTTGATTGTTCGACGAAGTGTTTCATTTGTTGTTGTTAAAATAGATATTGTGTTAGCAAGGCTAAATGTACATTCATCAAACTCTTTTTCACAAATAGATAAGGATTCATTCACTGTAAGAACTTTGTTGCTCTCTTTATCCATTTTATTTTGGAGTTCCTGTAGTTCAAGATCTGTATTCAAATATAATTTCCGTAAAGAATCAATCGAACTTAGTGACTCCGAAACATTCATTTCCATTTTTTTAAGTCGAAGTTGACATGCTCGAGACCTGTCTCTGAACAAACTAACCGTGCTTTCATTCTTTAATCCAGCTTTTTGTAGCTCAAATAGTCTTTCCGTAGTTAATTGATGCATAATTTGGTATAGATGTAATCGAATGCCACATGTTTTTACACTTTCTCTACACACAGTGTTTTTCAAATTTTCTGTAAATGGTCCCTCGAAGTTACTTATGTCCTCATAAATTTCTTGCGAAAATATGAATTGCACTTTGAATAGTTGAAAAACAAAAATGGAAGAAAAATATAGGATATTTGCCTTCACCATCTTGGGAAAAAAAACTCTTTCCACACAGTTGTGAATCCGAAAAGAAAGTAACTTATATTCTTCTCTGAGTACTTAGAACAAGCATGTGACAGAATGAGAGTGAGAGATTCATCTGGTGATTCCGGAAGAACGACAGTCTCATATTGAACTTTACCTCAAGAAAAAAGCGTCCGTAAGTGGAACAAAATTTTCTTCCCAGTAAGTCAAGGGTTATTTTCCTATCTGTATTTTTTCTATGTTTTATTTCTATTTTCCTATCTTAATCTATTTAGTTTTATCTTTAATGCAAAAATTCATAGAAAGAAGATTAGCATCATATATATGTTTCATACCAAAATTCAAATAAAAAAAATATATTCCCTTGTTTCGGCCTGTAGTAATAGTCTGCATATCAAGGTGACGTTGTAGTACGCCGTGGCATAAATGTGACGTAGTAACTAAAGCATTTGACAGAAAAAATATATATTGTTTATCCGACAACTTTAATCCTTCGAGATTATTGGTGTATATATGAAGACATTCAAAATTATTGAGACATTGTGTATATTCCTCTTTCTAATGAACGTCTTTCGGTCAAAAATTTGCAGATACATTTGACAAACACTAAGAATTAATAAAATCAAGAAATATTTTACAAATGTTTTACTTCTTTTCAATGGTATATTAATGTGTCAATGGTAGGGGTACCCGGCGCAGTCACAAAATCAGATATAGAAAATATGTAACACCAACGTTCAAACTCCCGGTGGACATGAATAGTTCAAATAAATTTTAAATGAAAAAGTAATTCAATTATGTATAATTTCTTTCAATTTAGATGTGACTTCATCTTGTGCACGTTAGTTAGCATTTCGATCAAAAATACGAAGATCATAAAAAAATAAAGTGCGGTATAGATGGATTTTGAGGTCAAGGCGGCGCAGCGAGCATACCTTATTAAATTTTGTGTAGCGCTATGGAGAACTATTTTCCAAACTAAACGACCCGTTACAACAGCAACAATGAGAAAAACATGTCTAAGGATTTGTTATATCATTTGTATATATATTTTCTCTTAAAAATAATTCAATCAGAGTAAAAGTAAAATCTCCGGACGACCATCAATTATTAGGAACTATATAACGTTGATCCACATTGCATGAATCTGTACTGCATGGTGCTAAGTCAACCGGTATATGACACTTCATGTATATTTCACACTTAAATAGCAACAGCACATATTTTATTTTTTTAAAGAATCGTTTAAGAACTGAGACAGTTTAACTTTTGGAATGTATAAGTGATAATAGAGAAAGAAGAGTAAATGCTTCCCGATCGTTTCACATGCGAAAACATCTCCGGCTGACGTGAGGTTAAGATAACGCAGCAATCTCTGTTATCTCTGTCCTTTGTGGAATAAAATTAAATGTCTCAATAATTTCCAAACAGCACTCGTAACATGATACTTATTACTTTCTGTAGATCTCAAAAGTATTGCAACAACATTTAAAAAAAATAGCAGTAGGTTTAAGTTTCCAGATAACAAGTGTAAGACTTCATGACGAAAAATTTCCTACATAGAAATCGTAAGTGTTCTATTGACAACCCTGGAACTGTTTGTAAAAACAAAATCAAGAAGAGTTGAGTTTTGAAGGATATAAAAGTCCTAATGATCCTAATGAGTAACCCCATATTTTGAACTTTGTATGCTTTCTATTGGATTGGTTCGTAAAAAGAAGAAAGATAAAATAGCATGTGATTCATGACTCCTCCGTATCCTAAGCGAAGGTCGATTCCTAAATTACTACAATGTCACCTATACTATCTTTAAAAGAAATGAAAGTGTGTGAGAAGTGTAAGGTCAGTTTTTAATCAAGATCAAACATTTCACCCGGTACTAGGAATAAAAGTCAGGGGTCGAGACGAGGCCTTAAAAAACTTAAAGTCCCGTGTCACGGTAGCCGTTTGAATAATAAAGAACTCTCACTGCTCACTGGCCCTGAGTGCCGAATATTGGTCTAAATTTGAAGTATTCGTGATCGATCAAAATTTACCCAGGTGGTTGAATTTACACCACCCTACCCTAATATAATCTTTTAAAAAGTCTAATCAATAAAAACTCAACTCTTTGACTGTGTATTTTATAATTACCTCCACAAAGTTAAGCCAGTAGCATGAAGAAGAAGTCCATTATCATTTTTTTTTACTTCTCCTTCGCCCTCCTTTCCCCCCTAATAAGACGGAATAATGGACTACATGCTCCAGAAAAGGATTAGTTTTTCATTTCCCTCTCTGGAACTCCTTTGCTCGTTTAAATGTCTATTTTCTATATCGGTAGCGACTTTGAAGTTTTGAGGTATCTTGTGGGGATATTATCTCTTGAAATTCCAAATAACATTGAATAATTTAATAATGCTACTATGAGTAAAATGAGCGATCCCTTATTTTAGTACGTTCGTTCGTAAGATGTCTGTATTTCTCTTCTATGAGTGAAAAATTCTCCGATGGGGCGTAAAACAATTATTTATCAATTACCTACTCAGTCATGCCAAATATTGCTTACAACTAAAATTTAAAACAAGGAAGCCTCTTAAGCAAATTCAAAAGCTATAGACTGTATATAGACTATAGACTAGCTATAGACTATCATGCTACGATTTAATACTGATCAGTCACAAGTGAATGATTATTTTATTTTTTGTGAAGTGATTTAAAGTTATTGAGGACTTTTTTATAATTCAATGTATCAGACCTAAATGTATTCAACTCTTCGGCATCTTATGGTGAGTTTATATATGTAGTCTCTTTATGGTTTGAAGTGTTGTAAGTAGAAGAATGTTCTCGTGATTCTAATGGATATAAGTGGTTTTACTATTGACGAAAAATTAAGACGAACACGTCATATTTGAAGAATTTTGCGAGGGCAATATTTATTTAAGATTTACAACATCCATTTTTGGCTATTTAGAACAGTAATTTTAGGCTCCGGTATTTCGATCCTAAGATTTCTCTTTGTATATTTCAGAACAAACTTTTAAGTGAAAGTTATCGTGCTGAACTGCTTTATGGACCCATAAAATTCTTTTTGTGGTTTTGTCGTTCTTGCTGTTGGCAAAATTCAGTAAAATACTTTATAGATAACAGTTCCAAACATACACCTTTGTATGTACGTAGCATTCAGAAACTTTTTTAAGTAATATTAAAAATGATTTATCAAAGTGACAAGATACATGTATTTGTAAGCAAAGGTTTTTTTTTTTAATATGTATGTGCTTCAGGGATAATACAAAAAACAGATAGTGGACAGAAATGCTGCAACGCTTATGGGAAATAATTTGTGAATTGAAAAGCTTTATCCTTATATTTAGGAGTCCTTGCATTCGTTGAGACCACGTACTTCTGATGAGCTTTCAGGTTTTCTTCTTTTCATTAATATTTTCTTTGCCATCCTATTATATTTCCCAATAAAGTAACTAGAAATGATCATATCTATAAATATGAATAGATTGTTGTTGTTCTTGTTTATTTTGTTTTTTAAGGTAATAAAACATGATAGAGAGTTTTGAAAGCATGTATCATCTCATATCTATTTAAATTCTATGAATGAAATGCAAAAATAAAAACTGTAATTAATATGCTCAAAAATGAAATTAAACAATATACGTTTATTGACTGGGTTCGAGGGGTAATATGCATTTTGTCGGACCCAACAACCAAACTGTTTGCCTGAGGCCCTCAGGCTTTATTTGAATTAGCCAATTTTAACCCTGTTCCGAGACCACATTTTTTGCTGTCTTATATTTGAGAAATTTTTGATAAATATCATGATTTATTCGGGTTTTTTATTCAGATTATATAAATTTAGTTCTAATATTGCACTAAATGAAAAAGCAATAACAAACATCTACGTATTTTTCGAATGATCAAGAATTAAACATTGGGAAAGTGTTGGAATAATAACTAAGTTCGAATTCATGTGAACCTATGTATATGTTTAGAACATAAGGTTGTTGAGTATAGACTAAAACCATGACATCTTTCCGAAGATAAGATTCCCCTAATAACTTTATACTGTTATATTGGTTTGTTCTTGTACTTATCGTGTTTATTTAAAGCAATTCAAACGACTTTTCTGTGATTGATTAATCAAAATGAATGTCAATGTCTTAATTATCTTTGGATTTTTACAGTTTTGCCTCATTCACTGCCATGCTGTGAAAACTAGTGATAAAATGAAACAAGAAAATGAAAATGCGAAATATTATGATTTGCTTGAACGCTTGGAAACAAAATTTAATGAACAGGAGAAAATGCTGAGATTCTTGAAAGAAAATGACAGTCACCAAACTGATCTTATAACCAAATTAATAGAGAAGAATAGGGCTCTCGAAAAATCAGTTAAAGAGAACATGAAAGAAATCCATAGATTAAAGGCTACTTGTGGAAGTTTAGTTGCAATTTCACGGACAGAGTTGACGACAATGCCAACAGTAGGGAACACAACATTGTCTAATATCCCGCCGAAGAAAACCATGAGTAATTCCATATTCGACAAGAAAAGCAAAGATCGGGAAAAGGCATATACAGAGATCTTAGATAGAACATCCAGAAGTAAGAAAAATATGTATTAAATGTGTATTGATTCGGTTCTAATCGTATTAAAATAATTTTATTTTTCCTTCCGATCGATATGTATGTATCAAGTTTTTCTTTTAATTTGTTTTCTTGAAAATTAAGTTAATTGTTCCAATGTGATTCTCTCTCATCAGAGAATTAACAAATCTATGTTTATGTTTCAAGTTACTGAATAAATTTAAAAACAAGAATTTTCAATTCAATAATGCATTCGTTCAGGATATCAGGAAAAAAAATCATCTAGAATACTGCATATTTTCGTGGGGTCAACTATTCGAGGTTGGGGGGATATGGGTTTGTGGGGATTTAATTTCGTTGATGAAGATTCCTTGAGTAGCAATATAAATCAAATTTTACATTTCGTGGTGGACATGAATTCGTGGGTCTCT